GAAATGTAGGAAAAAGGATAGAAATGTAATTAAACACTGCATCATCAGAGTTGGCTTTATCAGACACTTAACATTTCATGAAAATCAAGATCAAGTGGAGTTGGTTGACCAGCTGACCAACTGTATCTGAGGCAGCAAGTGCATCGCATGAAACGCTTTCATCGACTTACAGGTTATATATTTTATTGTAGCTACTGTAGCAATATTGTAGCACCATTCTATTGTACAATCTATTGTAGCACCACTTTTTGACAGGAATGGAAATGAGGCTTTGAGAGACAGAAGTGCAGTGCGTTCAATGGATCATACTGTTGTTTAATAACAACATATCAATTGTTCAGCTTTATACAGTGCGTGCCATTGTTTAGACTGCAAGACTCTCGTTATATTCAATATGGCATCTAACCTCTATGGCTGATAGAGCCGGCATCATGACCCCCCGTCATACCGTGTTCGGAAAGACAATGACGTGTAGGCGGAACCCCTAAAGGGAAATTTCGATATTTTTCATCGCAGTTATATAATTGTTTAATTAAACTACATATATATTTCTGGAGGCGCTATTATACCTGGCATTGAAACTGGCATCGTGCGTTTGAATGCACGATCGCTTTTAGTTTCACTTTCAATTTGCGATCGCACGTACTCTGTTTATACTACGGAGCGGCAGTACTTGCCACACATTTTACAAGATTATATGTTTGTCAGTGGTACTGAGGATCTGCAAATCGTTCGCCATCGTCCTCAGTCATCTCTCCTTACTCTGTTTATGTGGTAAGTGAAATCTTATGTACTGTAATGTAACAGGCAACCGTTACACCGTGTCTACACCGGACGGGACAGTTGTCATGTCATGCCGCATCAGCTAAAGTCTGTCTACACTGGACACGACAAAGCGACCGTTGACAGTCATTTGAAATTTGTGTCGGCACATCATAAATAGAACGCGGCAGCAGGTTACTGTCGGGGATTTGTCGTGTCGCGCCGCGCCGCATCCAGTGTAGACAGCATCACTGATTAATGAGTTCTATAGACTGATCTCTATATAATAACTCTCTATTATAGATCAGTGGCTCTATAGTATTTTGTCGCGCCGCTCGCGTCTGGTGTAGACACTGTGTTAGGAATCGTGTTTTCCCTTATAAGGAATCACGCTTCGGACACACCCCCTAACTCCACCCACACACTTGTTGTCCTGTTGTCTCATTTTGAGTCAGTAGTGGTCAATTAAGTGAGCTGCTAACTGGAAAGTAGATTTCCAATTCGCTAAAGAAACATTCACGATGTCTGACCCGATTGAATCGAAAATAATCGGTTCAAAAAATGTGATTAGTTCAAATCACGTTTCGGAGCGGTTTTGATTTCTTCAGTTCTAAATAACGAGGAAATATATGTTATTAATAAAATGTAGTGGAGTAAAAGGTAAAACATGAGATATTAAGAAAATGTTTTATATTTATTAGAAAACTTACAAAAAATATAGATATTTGAGAAAATAAATACTTGTCTATGGTATGTTCACAATTGTGTATAGGCTAGTTTACATTTTGCACGTATTTAATAATTAGGACAAAATTAATAAATCTAAATAATCATAAATAAACTGTTCAAACACAAAAATGCAAGACAAAAAAACTACAAATTCATACTGACAAAATCATCAGTTTTATTAAACTGCAGATTTATTTATATTTCTAAACTCTTGTTGGTTACATGGATACCACTGTTCATAGAACTTTGATTTCTCAGATATAGGCTATTTACAGTTAGCACAGGTGCACTGAAGATGAAATGTTAAATTATGGAAAAGGATACTGTGTTTCTAACATGTTAAAGGTGCTGTAACTCCTTTCATGTTTGCATCACGCACAGCACCTGAACACCGATGAAAAGCCTGTTCTGATGGGACCATTTGAGACAAACGCTCAACAGAAACGTGTCCACCATGAAATGTGAAGCACCTGCTGAACACGCTGAAGCTGACAGTCATGCCCTGCATTATATCTCCGGCCCAGTGCTGTCTTTGATTTCCAGTCCTACATTCTCCAAGTCCCCTTTTCATCTTTCCCTGAGAAGCTGGCTGCAAACTCAAGGTGAAAAGACCAGAGCATCTGTCAGAGGATGTAATGCTGATCAGCATCATGTCTGCGATATATGACGTTTAAGTGCTGATAAATGAGAGGCAGCAGAAATGGGGGAAGTGTACGATAAAACCAGGAAATGAGTCATAGTCGTCTCAGAGAATAACGGAGGTAAAGACAGAAAGAAAGGAAGAGTTGGAAAGCAGATGAAAACAAAAAGAGGAAAGAGAGCTATGGGGGAGAGCAGCATACTTATTTTTGTATCACGGTTTCCACAAAAATACTAAGCAGCAGCTGTTTTCAGCATTGATAATTATCAGAAATGTTTCTCGAGCAGCAAATCAGAATATTAGAATGATTTCTGAAGATCATGTGACACTGAAGACTGGAGGAATGATGCTTTTGAAATTCAGTTTTGATCACAGAAATACATTATATTAGTGTCCCTGCAGCACAAAAGCAGTGTTGAGTCGCTGGGGGATATTTGTAGCAATAGCCAACAATACATTGTATGGGTCAAAATTATACATTTTTCTTTTATGCCAAAAATCATTAGGATATTAAGTAAAGATCATGTTCCATGAAGATATTTTGTAAATGTCCTACCGTAAATATATCAAAACCTAATGTTTGATTAGTAATATGCATTGCTAAGAACTTCATTTGAACAACTTTAAAGATGATTTTCTCAATATTTAGATTTTTTTGCACCCTCAGATTCCAGATTTTACAATATATTCAAATGTTACAATATTTTACAATATATTCAAATAGAAAAAAACTGCTATTTAAATTGTAATAATATTTCCCAATATTACAGTTTTTAATGTATATTGACTAAATAAATTCAGCCGAGTCTGAGCAACTTCTTTAAAAAAGCATAAATCTTACCAACTCCAAACTACAGGAACATCAATTTGTCTTCATTTTATTGTACATATTTACAGTTTTGACCCAAACTTAGTGGTCAGTAGCATCAGTCTTCATCTTGTGATTTACTGTCATGACACAAGCACCAATGAGGTTTGATGTTACTGACGTGTCATTATATTTAATTTGGGATCCAGATTTGATAGTGAATAACCACTTAGGATTTTGGTCTGCACACCAATAAAAATTGATTTCATATCTTCAGACTCAAAACAGTTGTATGAATTACTTTTACACAACCTTTGTCCGTGTTGGAGCTAGAAACCTGTGGATCAAACCTGTGTCATTGTATGGACAAAACAGCTTAAATATTCCTCAAAAAGTATTCTAATATTCCTCAAAACAGATTTGTTTTTTTACATTTCCATGTTGTTACTGAAACAGACTTTAATTTTGGGAATATGTCATGGAATAGAATTCTGCTAGTGTTGGTCACTCTGACTGAAATGGACATTAAAATATTACCAATGCTACATTTATGGAGCATTACAATTATCCCTGCTCTCCTGCAATATGTGCGTGAGAGAGTAAAAGCAGATATCATGGAGAATATGAATTTGCCACACATTTTAAATTGTTGCAATTGTTTGATACAGTTAATGTATAACAATGTCTGTAAGGCAAAACAAGTGTTTGATATCTGAGATCATATTTTACATATCTGCTGATAAGACGAGCACAAAAAGACCAGCAGCATATGGTGTGTTGGTGACCCCAGCAGGCCTCATGCTAACTTTACCACAGAGACCTTAGGAAACCAGTTCCACCAAAAATATCACGCAGGTCAACCTGATTAGTTCATTATATTAGTTCAATAGTTAATCACAGTCAAATGTACCATGAATTTCGCCCATTTGTTTTCTAAGCACATGCTATTGATCTCATTGAGCACAATTTATCAGTGCATGTTTATTTTTTAATTATTGTCACTTTGTTAATCTTTTAGGGCCAGATTTATGAATAACGTGCACACGTGCAAACTCTCTTTTAGCAATAAAAACTACTGTCAAGGATTTACTAAAGACATGCAGTGAAAAATATGCAATGTAAAGGTGTGGACAGTTACTTTTGCAGTTAACCTTATTGCATATTCATTTGTAGGAGTTTCCCTTTCAGATGCAACATTTAAGGCAGGAGAGCATTAAAATGAATCATGTTTTGTTATTTACTAAGCTTTGCGGTATTCAGTTTGCTGGTATTTCTACTATTATTTAATAACCCATTTAACCCATTTTGCACTCAACATTTGCTAATTTAAAAAAAGTTCTACTCCCATTGGGGCTTTTATGGGTTTGTGTTTTTTTTATAAATGTGGCCCTTAATGTTTCATAAAAATGTCATAAACTTCCAGTGAAAATGACAGAATTCTCTCTGGTGATGTATGCAGGACGTCTCCAAACGTTTACTCCTTTTAAACTCCTGCAACCTCAGCTTTATCTGTAGCCATTGTTTGAGAGCCAAAATCCCAACATCCAATCAACAACTGATTCCTAGAACCAGGTCCACAGTGTTCACTTCTACTCCTGAGGGAGTCTGAGGCGAGGCTAGACAGCCCAACTCTCTTTCTCAGCTAACTGGAGATGTGCTGGTCAGTTTGCTCTGGCTCGCCGCACTGTGGCTGGGGTGCAGATGCAGTGATCCGCAGGTTTTTCCTGTGGAAAAGGACTGTAGCACGACTGTCAAAGGGTCTTTCATTCAGTGCTGTATGCCAGGCCCTGGCCCCAAACTATGAGGCCACTATCCTTTATTCTGTGGGCCAGACACACTCCAAATGTCACGGCTTTGACGGATAAGCTTCTCTGGCTGCCTGTGATCGACTGTGATTTGACTGCACATCTGTGACTTTCAGTGCATATAACTCTAAATGGAACATATAACACTCACGCTGCTGATGTAAACTAATTGAGAGTTCAGATCTGCGTTTTAATCAGCCACACTCCTCTGCAGAGAGACATAAAGGCTGTTATTCTAGCGGTCTGTGGACAAAACATGAGGGTGAAGACTTTTCACAGAAACGGCATCCCTGCGGTGCGTCATGAGATGGGACACATCACGCTCTCCGCTGTATCCGCTCTGCTAGAGAGCTCTTTCTGCCCTGATGAGCAGACAAACATTAAAGGCAATAATTAGAGCAATTCCTCCTGCACACATTCAGCAAAAGGCGCAAACGGCTGAAGCTTCCTCTCCATACATCTCTCTCTCCTCAGCGGAGTCAGTTTACTCGTCCGATAGTGGCTGCTAGATTCTTAGAGGAAATTTACCACCGAGGTCAGAGCGGTTCAGATGGCCCGGTGCCACGGCTGAGTACAAGGGTGAGTTTAAGTTGGGCCAGTGAATTAAACTCCCCACGGATGCATCTGTGTGTGTGTGTGTGTGTGTGTGTGTGTGCG